GGAGCTGGGGGTCGGGGGGTGCCCCGAGCTGTGTGTGCTGCTGGAGCTGGGGGTCAGGGGGTGTCCCGGGCTGTGTGTGCTGCCGGAGCTGGGGTGGGGGTGCCCCGAGCTGTGTGTGCTGCAGGAGCTGGGGGTCGGGGGGTGCCCCGGGCTATGTGTGCTGCGGGAGCTGGGGGTCGGGGGGTGTCCCGGGCTGTGTGTGCTGCGGGAGCTGGGGGTCGGGGGCTGCCCCGAGCTGTGTGTGCTGCAGGAGCTGGGGGTTGGGGGGTGCCCCGGGCTATGTGTGCTGCCGGAGCTGGGGTGGGGGTGCCCCGAGCTGTGTGTGCTGCGGGAGCTGGGGGTCGGGGGGTGCCCCAGGCTGTGTGTGCTGCGGGAGCCCCCTCCACACAGAGCTGAGTCCACACACCCAGATGCCTCTACCCTGAGACTCGGAGATGAAGCCTCCGGCCTTTTTCAGTGGCACCCAAGTCCCCCAGGAAGGGTCTAGAATTTGGCCACGACACTCACCCCGCCCCCCTCATCGCCACCCTCAGGTCTCCCCAGAAGCCGCCCGAGCCTTCGGTCAGTCCTTCGGAAGCATCCCAGACAGGCTGGCCACTCTGAGTTCATCATCTCCAGCTAAAGCCCTGGGAAGGGGTTGCAGCATGGTGAAACGGGGTGCCCCGCCTCACACCCCCACGCTTCCTGGAGTGGCTACACTCCCATGCCACGGTTCCATTCCATTTTGGTTGTGTTTTCCCAGGCTAGAGAGCTGCTTGCATGTAGGGTGCAGAATAAATGAAACGTGTCATGTTGTGCCAGGGTAAGGGGTGAGGCCAGCGCCCTATGGGCGCCTCTTTGTGGCCGCCGAGCCCGTGGCACCAAGGTGGGGCATCGGGCGGACGCCCGGGGCTCGAACCCTCCTCGGGAACCGAGACCTGCCGCGACCTGACCCACGGGAAGCTGGTGGCCTGCGCAGTTGCCATGGGGCCCCGCAGCCGGCCCCAGCCTGATGGCGAGACGCCCCCAACCCACCCCGACGGCTCCAGATAAGACGCCCTGCGCCCTGACAGTAGGCGAGAATTGAGATTAGCGCCCCCAAAAGCCCCCGAGGCAGGGACACTGTGCCAGCTTTGAAGGCCAGAGAGACACATGAATGCCCAGAGGGAAAACGGGCACTGGCGGGAAGCGTCGCCCAGAGCCGTGGCCGTGGGAGGCGCCCAGGCGAGCCCCAGGGCAAAGGATGGGGCGGGGTGGCACCTGGGGCACCCCATGGCTGACATGGGCTCACCGCAGCAGGAGGTGGCCCCACGCAGGGGAGGGACTGGCGGGAAGGGGCTAAGGAAGGAGCTTCCGGCAGCCCCCGGCCCTCCGCCCAGACCCCGGGGCCCAGGGCTATGAGCCGCCCTACCTGCCAGCCCCAGCAGCACGGCCAGCGCCGCCCAGACGCCAGTCCAGCGGCCCTCCATCTGCACATGTCCTTCCCGACCTGGAAGACACGGCGGGCGAGTCCATCAGGAGCAGCCCCGGCCCGCGCGTGACCGTGGAGGCCCCGTCCGCAGCGCTGTGACAGCTGCGGGCGGGCTAGAGCAGCAGCGTCGTGTGCCCGTCCGGACCTGCAGAGTCAGAAACTCACACGAGCCGGGGCCGGAGCTCAGGCAGGGGCAGCTGGTGGAGGGCTCCCACCCTCTGCCTGCACATATGCTGGGAGCGGGTGGTGTGCGGGCCACGCCAGGCCACGCCGGCCACGCCGGCCACGGCAGGTAGGTCACGCCGGCCACACCAGCCACGGCAGGCCATGCAGCAGGCACCTAGGCTGACCGCGCTTCGCTTCTACAGGGCTTGAGTCATTGAGGGGAAAATGCTGCCTGCAACCAACTTATATTCTGAAGGGAAAACAGGCAGCAAAATGCGGAACAGGTGTGAAGTCCTGGAAGGAGGCCAGAGGTTAGAGAGACACAGAACAGGGAGGAGCCCTGCGAGGGGCCAGTGCAGGTCGGCACTTCAGTAGGGAGGACGGACGGAGGCACCCCCAGAAGGTGAAGCACGACACGGGAGACCAGAAGAGCTTACTCGGCAGGAGCAGCCGGGGCGAAGGCCCTGGGGTAGGCCAGCGCTTGACACGACAGCGCCCGGTTCCCGAAGCCCCAGCAGGGCAGACGCTCACAGACCTCTGCACCCCGCGCTGGTCTTCGCGGACGGAGGAACACGGCTGCATGTGCCTGCCTCGCTGAAGGACCCCACTCACAAACCCCTCTTGGGCTCTTAGGAACAGCCTGATGCCCCCCACCCCGGTGCCTGCACCAAGATGGCTGAGCTCCGCGCCCAGACCCCGGCGGGAGGCGGCAGGGGGCTGCGCCCAGCGGGCCTCCCCGGCGGCACAGCACGCCCCCTCGCGAGCCCGGCTGGGAGGAGAAGGCTCCCCGGCTTCTGCCGGCCAGACCAGGCCGGGCTGGCACCTCTGGACTCTGGGCAACCCCGAAGGCCTTCCCGTCCGCGCAGTGCCAACGAGCATCTCAAAGTCTGCCTGGGGAAGGGCGTGAGCCTGGGTGATGCGCGCCCTTCCGACCTGCCCCAGGCCAGCCAGCCTCAGCGACCTGAGACCCCACCGCCCGGACCGGGAGGTCGCCGGGAGAAACTCCGCATCCCCGTGCACTGCGGCCAGCTGCTCTTTTAATTTTTAACTCTGAGGAAGTCAGAAACAGTCTGTGTGTGAGGCTGGACACCGGCCCTGGGGCCGCGCCTCGGCCCAGCGGGCGCCCTCTGCTCCCGAGACCCCGAAAGGGTGGAGGGGCCCGAGGAGAGGCGGAAGGCCACGCCCCCGGGCCTTACCTGGCGGCCAGTCTGCTCTTCAGGGCTCAGCGCTGGCTCCCATTTCCCGAGGGCGTCTCGGCCTCCGTCCTCTGGCCACCCGACAGAAGCAGCTCCTCACGCCACAGGAAGTGCCTCCATCGCGTCACCGCCGGCCGTAAACAGGGTGGCCCCGGGTGCCCGGCGCCCACAACCCCTGTTAATGATCAGCCAGCCCTGCCGGCCCGCTGCCAGGCTGCCACCCCTGTCCTGCCGCAGGCCGCCCGCAGAGCAGCGCCGTGCCTCCCCGAGGCTCCGGGCCCTTCCTGCCCGCACGTACCCGCTGACCTTGCTCCCGGCTCGCCTGGGGCGCAGCCCCAGCCCCAGACCGGGGAAGCCGGTTCCTGGCCCAGGCAGGCCCTGCCACTCCGAGAACAGGTTCTTCTGTGAAATAGAAAAACAGGCCTGAGGTGCAGGCTCTGGAATGTGGCCACCCGAAGGCAGGCGGCACCGGCTCCCGGCCGTGTTTGCCCAGAACTGCGTCATCTCCGGTCGTCGTCTGAGGCCCCGCTGCTCCCGGGAGGAGGCACAGCGCAGCCGTCTCTGGCTCTCCCCACCGGGGCATGCCCCTCACGCAAGGGCCTATGCACGTCAGAGGAGCCAGCAGAAGCTGGGCCACACAGGTGGACGAGCACCCCGAAGCCAGACAGAGGGAAGGGCTGTGCGTCCAGTTAAGGGGGTCAGAATATGCAACCCCAAACCCCAAGTACGCGCTCTCGATGCTGCTACAAGTGACTGGGGGTTTGTCGCCCCCATCTCTTGCCACCCCCCCCCCTTTTGCAGGTGTGTCTCCTGGCATTCCAAGGAGAAGGCAGTTCAACTGCAGCTGTTGACAAAAGCAAGCTGGCGCCCGCCATCTCCAGCTCCGTGGTGACCCCTGCACCCTCCATTTGCAGACCCTTGCCCATCTCCCCATCCCCCCTTTTACTAACAGCCCAGCACCTGCCAAAGAGCAGGGCGAGGATGTCTCAGAGAGGAGTCCGCTGCCCTTCTCAGCTGCGACAGTTAAACCACTGTCCTTTCCCTCAAGCTCTCTTTCCTGTTCCTGGCTGAGGGAAACCGGGGCCGAGTTGGGTAACACTCTCCTGGTACAAAAGAGGGGTGGCTGCTGGGCAGGCTTTGTCTGGGGTCTGACAGCTCGAATACACCCCTGCCAAGTGGCCTCCTCGGAGGGTATTCTGGCCCCAGTGGTGCCTCGGTGAGAGCATGGTCAATGATAACCACTCAGAAGTGCGCCCGGCACAGGGACCCACCCAGCCCACTTTAGGGAGACGCCTGTGCCCTGGATGACGCAGGGCCAGCCCTGGGGCAACAGCGGGAAAGCTATGCATACGTCATCGGAGTGCAGCTCTGATGCCATGTGGGGCGTTTGGGGGAAGCTGGGAGATTTGCATTATTTCAAATTTTTAGCACAGAGATTTGACTAATATTTTTAGCCTGTGCTATTTCAGAATCACGAAGCTTACATGTACATAAAGCATAGTCACACTCGAATTCCAGTTGTGGCAAAGGTCTGAAGGCAGCTGTGATGGACGGTGGGGCGTCCCTGAGGAACCGGGCTTGAGCTCAGTGGGGAGTGGGCTGTGGGTGGGAGGAGGGGTGGAGGCACCTTCTGGACAGAGGAAACAACTGTGGCTGGGGACCCCGGAGCCTCTGGGGTGTCAGGGGCCTGGAACACCCAGGGGGCTTTAAAGAGTCTCACGGGCCCCGAATGCAGAGGTGGGAAGGAAGGGGGTGTTGGCTGAGCCCGAAGGGGAGGCAGGTCCAGACGAAGAACAGTCCGGAGCCTGGTTTTTATCTTCAGCTGTAAAAAGGGGTGTCCGGAAACGCAGGGAAAACTTTGAAATAGGCAGTCTGGATTATGTGGCTTAACACGGCCCGAGCTGTGTTTGTGCTTTGGAAATTCTTGGTTACAGCTAACGTGTGTGTCCACGGGAGGACACAGATGTCCAGGTACGTGGCCAAACGCTATTTCTGAGTCTGTCTGCTCCACAAACAGTTACCTTGTTTTATTACTACCTTGCTTTAGTCCGTTGAGGTAATGCTGGTTCACAACACATGTGTGATTCAGAGGTGCAGGGTCCCACCTCTTCAGGTTATGTCACCACACCACACCCACCTGGTCACCCCCTCCCCAGCCCACTGGGCCCCCCAAACCTTTGCTCCTCACCCTCCAAACAAACAGAACAGCCACCCGTCTGGTGGCAGCCTCAGTCGATGCCAAGTGTTTGTTTTGATTTAGTTTCATCTGTTCTTTGTTGTGCTTCTCTACATTCCACATAGGAGAGAAACCATCTGGTGTTTGTCTTTCTCCTCCCAACTAATTTCACTTAACATCATCCCCTCCAGTTGTCGCAAATGGCACAGCAGGGGGTTGTCTTTTTCATGCCTGAGTAGTATTCCATCGTTTGCATATACCCGTCTTCCTAATCCGAGCCTCTGTCACTAGCTGGCTGCATACCTTGTTATTGTAAAGTGTTGCAGGGACCACACCAGCGTCTTGCATTCAGCTAAATGCCCACAAGTAGGAGAGCTGGATCATCTCGTGTTTCATCCTTAAATCTCTGAGGGGCCCTCATACCGGCCGCAACGATCTACATTCTCACACTCAGCGGCTGAGCTCCCATCCCACCATACCCTCACCCACCCCTGTGGTTTCCTGCCTTTGGAGACAGCCAGCTCCCAGAGTGGGCAGCAGTCACCGTGTTTGCATGTCCCTGGTGGGGGGATGGGAGGCCTGTTGGCCTCCTGGGTGTCCTCTTTGGAGCCATGTCCGCTAAGCGCTTCTTTGTGTTACCGATGACGATGTTGGCTCCGGACTCCACGGAGAGTCGCAGCTCGCCCCAAGTGGCGGGTCTCACCCAGCCAGGAAGGCCTGAGCAGCAAGGCCAGCGGAGGCAGTTTCTCTGTGTAGCTGCAGTAGCTGGAGCTCCTGTGTCCCTGCGCTCGGACTCCTGCTCTCAGGCTTCCGGACTCGGATGAGGACTTGGCTCTCGGGCTCAGGCTTGGGCTCTGTCTGCAGGTTGCGGGTGTCCACCTTGCCGGTGGCCTCACCTGCCCGGACCAGTCTCATTTTATAGACCTGTCTTCTGCCTCTCTGGATAATCCTAGTGCAGTGCCAGAAGAAACCAGCAGTTATACAAGTGAGTCTAGTACTTAGAGATGAAAATGAGCTTTGGTAAAGATGGAGCTGATTTCTGTTCTTTGGAGATGGACCAATTTTGCATCTACCTGTAAATTTTTCAGAATTCACGATGGTGTGTATGTGTGTTCTTTGAATTTCCCATCGAATCTATTATAACACCTCGTGGGTTTCCTCACTGATCAGTGAGTTAAAGTCTTGGGTGTTCATCTTAATTGTATAGGAAAATATCAATATATTATATTGTAGAAGACAAACGGATCACATGTTATCTTTAAAAACCCCTTTCACAGGGCTCCGTGAAGAACTCAAGTGTACTGGGGCTTGAGCTCTGCCAGGTACTTCGGGGATATTAAAAGCAGGTTTGGGCCCTCCCTGGTGGCGCAGCGGGTTAAAGCACAGCACTGAGAATCTGGAGCCGCTTCCGCATGAGTTCAATTCCCGCCTGCCCCGGAGGAGACCACAGGGCGTGGCAGACCTCTCCTGACCCGCCCGCTGCTCCCCTCAGCAGTGTACTTCGTCGATTTGCCTGTTCTGCTCCCCACTCTGTCTCTGGGGAAGCCTCTCACCGCCCCTGAGCCTCTGGCCTGTACCCCAGTTCTGTATGCATAAATGAATAAATCTTTAAAAAAAAAAAAAAAAGGAGGTTTGGCTGTTTCCCACCTACAGAAACAGCAACTTCCCACTAGGCTCAATCTAATATGAAGAAGACAATGAAAGCCATCTGTAACCGCCCTATCTGTCTAGATAAGCATTATGAATTTTTAATGATAGCTCCTAATATTTGCTTTATTACAAAAGTGAGACATATTCATGCAGCAAATATTAGAAGCTCCAGGCAGGCATGCAAGCGCGATAGCTCCCCAAAAGAAGAGGACGCGACCGGCGGCTCTGGGCTGCTCGCCACGGCAGCGGCAGGTGGCCAGGCCTCGCGTGCCTGGCAGCACAAACCCCCACCGACAGCAGGGCTGGCCCCTCGGGCCCTGGCCCTGCCGTCCATGTTGCCTGCGGGTTTCATCGAGGCGGGACACTGGATGGGAGCAGCAGCTCATGAGGGCCTTAGGGTCTCTCCCGGGGAGTGCAGTCGCTGGACAGTCGATGGCCACACAGCGGCAGGGGGGTTGGGAGGGCGTGGAGGGGGAGACACGAATCGGCAAAGCACAGAAGATTTCAGGGCAGCAAATTACTCCAGAGGCACTGCAGTGAGGGGTAGCTGCCAGCACCACAGCGAACCCCAGGTAGCCACGGACACTGGGGACCTCCTTGTGTCCATTAGGTCCATCGGCTGTAGCCACTGGCCACCGTGCTCAGAAAGGACAGCAGGTGAGGCCGTCCTGTGTGGGGCAGGGACGCACTGAACGGAACACACTGAAGTTTCTGCTCAGTTTTGCAGCAAACCCAAAACCGCTTGAAGAAAGAAAGTCTGTTTCCCAATGCGCCAGCCAGGCCAGAAGGGCTCACGCGAGCAGCAGAACTTCCCTGGAAGAACAGGCCAGACAGTGGCACCGCCCAGCGCCCTCACACCCCAGCGGGCAGCCAGTCCCATCAGCTGGTTTTACTTTGGACCATTTGAATGGCAAAGAACCTAAATATCATTGCTGTTTTTACGGCCAAAGGAATGTGCCATGGCGTGAAACAGACAATTGGCGGGCATCACTGAGCGGAGCCCAGGCCTTGCTGCGGCCCAGCGGCCCGCCCCAGAGGGGTAAAGGCCTCTGTGCGGTGGCCGGGTGCTGCGGCTTCTGTGACAGTCGATGTACGATCGACGTGCAAAACAGCGTTCCTGTGGGAACGGGCACCACGCTCCTGCGGCTCGCTGCCCCAGAGAGGACGTGGGCCCTGCGAAGCCTCGCCGACGCCGTTCACAGGGGAGGATCGGGCCACAGATGACCTGCCCGGGAAAAGAGCAAAACTCGGCGTTAGGTGCACGGTTTCTGTGGCACGTGAGCCACTTGCGCCCCAGCCTCAAGCTGAAAACCGTCAAGCCAAAGCTCAGTGAGTGGGGAGGGGCTCCCGGCCAGCCTACCAGCTGCAAAGGCAAAGCAACGTCCAGGAAACGTCCTAGAGCTGCGTCGCTCACTGAACCGAGTGAGGCAGGTCGACCAGTAATCCCTCCGGGACATTCGCGTTTCTGGGTGCTTCCAAAGGGGATTCCCCGGGCCTGGGCTGGGCTGGATGGTCAGAGGGAGGTGGGGACGTGCCGGGCGGCAGGGCCTGCTCTGGTGGGATGGGTGTCCTCACACAAAGATGCCTTCGGCCACAGAGAGGGCCCCAGAGGGAGGACAACACTCGGACAACACAGAGAGCGGGCCCCGTGGCAGTAGTGGGGTACAGCCGGCAGGCCCAGACTCCTCCTGGGCCCTCAGAGGGAGTGAGGTCTGCTGGACCTTCTCGTCCCACTTCCTCACAGCAACTCTGGAAAACCAACGTAGCCAAACGGCCTCAATGTCTTCCCACAGATTGATGCACTTTTATGTTTTTAATAAAAGTGGCTAAATAATTTTAAGTGGCTAAAGGGTTTACATTTGATAGCTGCACGACTGCTCAAAGAATTATCTGTTACGCTGCATTAAGTGGCATCTATCTTTAGCTCCTAGAAATCATTTACTTTCCAGTAAAACGACGTCTGCTGCCCTGTCACCCACATAGCACAGTAGCACTGTCGGGACAATTTACATCTGTTCTAACTCAGCGTGCTATTTATAAGCACTGTTCTGTATCGTTAAAGCCCACTCAGGAGCATCGTTTAAGGCTTCGTAGGCACACGCCGCGCCGTGACACGTGAGAGATGACCGCTGTGTGTGTCCAGCCTGCCAGAATCCCCACTCCTGCTCTATCACCCATTCCTTTAACTCGTTATCGAGTCCAACTTTCAATATTGCAAATAACACTGCCTGTACATAGCAGGCAGGGGTCTGGTATTTTACCTGCTGTTATGCTTCCTTAGACTCTTTAATTAGAATCCCACATCAGAACATGAATCATCAAAAATTATGAATAGAGTTAAATTCCCTTCCAGAGCGATGCCAATCTACAATCCAAGAGCAGGATCCGAGGTGACCGACCGACACGGGCACCCGAGCGGGGGGCGGGGGGCG